CGGTGCTGCTCCGCAGGGGAGCCGTTCCTTCCATCGCAGCGCTCGGGAACCGCTGGCAAATTACTTCAAGGCAGTACTGAGGGAGGGAGGGATGCGTGTGACACCGCCGCGGGTTTGGTGACGCCCGGGTCGCTGCATCTGTTGGGGAGGTGGTCGCTGCTGCTGCGCTCGGTGTTTGCCAACTGAGAGCGTTCATCCAACTACGGCACAGGAAGATTTACGCCACGGGTAAACCACTTATGCTCCCGGCTTTCAGAGGTTTATTAAAATTGCGAAGAGGAGGCGTAGCTGTAGGAAATGTTTTCTTCCTCTTTGTTCCTTTTTTTGTTTTGTTCTCCCCTTGAATTGCCAACGTGTCTACGGTCATTGTTGAGACTGAAGACTGTAAGAAAGCTCTGTTTTAACATGACCTTTTTCCTATTCCGGGCAGTTTCTTTCTGATGTCAATAAAGAGCTCTTGACGCAACCGGTATTGGTTTCGTGTTATTTTTGTCATAGGGAAAGTTTTCTTTTGAGAGTTTTGTCTCTTCCAGTAACTACCCACTCCCCCTTCGTCATTCTTGGTGTTTTCCCCAAGAGACGCTCACCCAGTTCCACGGCCCCCTCAGATCTGGTGACGACACTGTCGTATAGCTGGCTTGCTCGGCTGCGTTACATCTGTAGGTAGCCTAGAAATGTCCAGTAAAACCCACACCGAAAAAAAAAATCGAAATGTATTCACCATAATTTAAAAATGCCCTTCCCTGGAACAGCTGGGTCTGTTTGCCACTAGAGCCTTTTCTTAAAACGCTCTCAGGCCCAAATGTAGCTCAAGAACTATGTTGACAGGTTTCAGTTAGGGATTTGTGGACTTGGATTTCCAGGTTCTCTAACAATAATGTTGAGGTGTTTGTGTGTGAGCAGAGCAGACTCAGCAGATCAATCAAGGGCGTTTAGGCTAACGGGGGTCCGTGGGAAGCGTAAGCGTTCAGGAGTGACGCGACCGGGCAAGTTACAAAACGCGAGACTCTGGAAACCTGGTACCTCACACGTGACGAAGGATGTTTGATTCTGATTCCGTTTCAGCGTGGGAGGTATATGATTTTTTTATTTGGGTTTTTGTTGATAAATGATAACTGGATCTGTCGTGCCGTGAGGTCTGCGGCCCTCGGAGCCGTGGGTTCTACATCGTGAACGCTGCTGACCCTGAGGACAAGCAAGTGCTCTGAAGTTCCCTGTACGGATCCCATATTGAAAACGAGCGTCTAGTGGAGTACCGGATACTCGAGGTTTTTTATCAGCCACTTCACGCCGCTGACAAAGTCATTCAGGTATGTCTTAAAAGCCGGTTCGGGAGCGTCCTGGGCAGGAACTGCAGAAACCAAAGCAGAGACCCAGGTCTGCTCCCGCTTTTGTGAAACAAACGGGTCCTGGGAGAACCTCGGGCCTTGAATAGAGACGTAAAGCGGACAAAGTCCTCTCGCTGGGGACTGTCCCGACCCAGGTGCGGGACCTTGCACTTGGCCTCGTTGAACCTCGTGAGGTTCGCACGGTCCCGCTCCTCGTGCTGTCAGACGGCCGAGGACTGGACGGAAGGGGTGCGGGAAGCGTGGCATACCCGCAGCTCCGAAAACCTTTGCGGTGGGGTTTTCAACAGAGCGTGGCAGGATCAGGCAGTCGTATTGGATGAGATCCTTTGAAAATCCTAGTCTAGACAAAATGCATTATAAAAACCTTCTGCCAAATCAGAGCTGTTCCCGCAGCTTTTCTGCCCGTTTCTTCCCAGACCTTTTCCTTATTTTCCGCTGTTCGGAAAGGAATGTGCTTTGGGATAACACAGTTTGAAAAGTTGTCAGTTTTCCTTAACTGGGCAAATCTGTCACGATCTGCAAGGTTCTCCAGTTCACGTGAAGAAGGACCGCAGTCTGACGAGCGAGGGTGCCGCCTCATCCTTTCCCGGCACGTGGCCCCGCAGCCCCTCTCGGGATAAGGGGCGGCGTGCTCGCGCCGTGCAGCGGAGCTGCGTAGGCTGGTCTGTGCGCCGACCCGCGTTCCTCGCTGACGTCGGGAGCCTCCGTGAGATGCTGCCAGGGTTGCTGTCTGTGCACGCTGAGCTCCGTCGGATTGAACGAGCCCCACAAGTGGTTTTTCTCCTCCTAGCGCTGAAGTCGCAGTCTCTTTGGGTGACTTACGTCTCCCCAAAAATAGAATTGAGTTCCCCCCCAAAAAACGTACCACAAACGCCATTTTTCATCCTTTATTTCTCAAATTTCCACACCTCTTTATTTGCCTAGGTGCAACAATAATTAATATCACGGAATTATCGAGGGGGGCAACCAGAAAGGGGGGTAAGTGGAGCGTGACCGAAGATGCTTTCTCGCCGTCGTTTGGGCAGGAACCGGTTGGCCTTCCGCACATCGAGGCAGGAGCAACGCGAGCGCGACCACGGGAAGAGCCGGGAACTGGTGAGTTCCGTTCCAGTACCCAGCCTGTATCGCCAGTGTTTGCGTTAATGAGAGTTATAGAATAACGGGTTGGCGAGCGCCGGGAGCAGGCTTACGCTTCGCAGAAGAAGCCACAAGAGTGGTACCGAGGACCCATTGCCAACAAAGAGAAATCTATGTTAAATCAAAGTAGCGAGATTATTGGATTAGTCTTGCTTTTAGCAGAGGACTTTTTTTTTTATAAATCTCATTAGCAGGGATTTTGGTCTAGAGATGAAATTATTTCTTAATCTTCCGGGGGACGCCCTCAGCCCCACCGAGCCCTGGGGTGGGGGGCACACGCTCAGGGCCCTGGCGAGTCCGGTGGTTCCCTCCTGTGTCCAGCTCCGCAGTCTGGCTGGATGCTACGCACGGCAGCGACGTTTTCGTCGTCTGGTATCAGAAGAAAATTGCAGGTATTAACAAGAACTAGCCTTACGCGCTGAAACGTTACCGTAAATATTGTTCGAGCGGCCCCGTCTCAACTCCTCTGAGATTCACAGAAGCAAACGAGCGAATGTTCTCTTCATCGGCGAGCATCCAGAGTGATCGTATCCAAGTCAATAATCACGGTTCCCTTTTTCGCTGCCGTTAGGACAAAGGGAAGGTAATCCCATTTTAATCACGTCTTTGCTCCAGCGCGGTGCAGGAGCCGCGGGTGATCGCTGACTGCGGGCCGGTAGCCGTAAGGGCTGATATTTGGTTTCCTACTCGTATCAAACGCTCAAATATCATGCAAGCTGCGTACCTCCTTCAAAACAGAAACGCCCCGGCGTTTTTGTCAGAAAGGGCTTACGGAGCGTGAGTTTCACGACACAATAAACAAACTCTGCTAGGCGTAAATCGTTCAGGCAGTTCCTAGCACGTTTCACTTAATCCCGTCACCGCGGGGCTCTTCTAGATCCTCCATTATCAAATCCTGCTGGTTATTCACCCAATTTCCTTTCTTAACTGCCTTCCCTTCGTTTCGAGCAGCTCGATCCTGGCGCGGCCGGGAGTTGGCGGCTGGCGAAATGGCGTTGCTTTGGCCTTGCTGAGAAGAGACCTCCCTCCGCACGATCTCCCTGAAGCAGAGCTGAAGTTTAAAGGCTGCCCGAAAGCCTCGGCGAAAGTTTTCGTTAAAGAAACCGTAGATGATGGGGTTGACGCTGCTGTTGAAAAAGGCCAGCCAGTGAGCAAAGGGGTAGATGTAAATGTTGATGATCTGCAGCTGGAGATCCGACAGGTTGGCGTAGTCCGAGAGCATCATCAGGGTCCACAAGGGAAGCCAGGACAGGGTGAAAAGCAAAGCCACGATAATGAGCATTTTGACGACTTTTTGCTTCTTCTTAGACGCGCCGTGCCGCTGCTCCCGGCTGTGCTTCCCCGCCGCGGGCACGGCTGTGTTGAAGAGAGCAATGCTCACCCGAGCATACATGATGACAATGAGCGACAGGGGAGCCAGATAGATGTTGGCAAACAGAACCGTCGTATAGATCCTCCTCATTCCCGGGTCGGGCCAGTCCTCCCGGCACCAGTATACGGGGCGGGTTTCGTTCCCGTAGCCAAGGATCACCCTGAAATGCTTCTCTTCTTGTACCCGCAGCATCACCGCGGAGGGACACATGATCGCGACGGCCAGAAACCAGATGACCGCTATAATGACGAGCGCAGTCGAAACGGTGAGCTTCTGCTTAAACGGGTAAACGATGCAGCGAAACCTGTGGCAAAGACACCCGGGGACAGATGGGGAGAAGCCGTTCAAGGAGTGCTTCGTCAAACAGGCAAGCACGCGTACGCTGTTTAAATCGCGGGGTTTTAAAAACGTACGGATGGAATCATCTCCTCATCCTGCATAAAGCAGTGGAATCGCGTTTTGTTGCTCCCTTTAAGAGCTGTGTTGGTAAAAACAATCCCAAAAAAGGTCACATTTGTCGCTAAAGTTTCCTTATTTTGATCTGTCTCTGGATCAGCCTGCTGCCGCTTCCATTAACCACAGCGGGTACCAGCGTCGCTGCAGCCCAGCTTAATGGCTCCGGAACAAAGCAACGCACGGCAGCCGGGCTGCGCCGGTTTTAAGAACGTAGGAGCAAATTGCTACGGCTGCTCTTGAGAGTCGGCCGCGTTTTGTTTCGCTTAGCTAAACAGCCTTAGGAGCAACACGCGCCTAGCGTATCGCAGTGCGTGCGGATTGCTGAATTGGGCTCCGCGTGGCCGGAGGGAGGGGAAAGCGGCAGTGTGCGGTCTCTGCATCACCTTACCTATCCACGGCAATGGCAACTAGCGTGAAGACGGAGGCAGACACGGAGATTCCTTGGACCATCCCGCTCATCTTGCAAACCAGGCTCCCAAACGGCCACCCTGGAAGGAAACAGGCCATTGAGATTGCCTCCCTCTCGCCGCAGCGCGATGCTTATATACCTAAGAGGAAATTTCCACCCCGGCGCTAACGCGTCGGGCCGTAACGGGGGTTAGGGGGACAGAGCCTGTGCGAACAAAGGCTTCGCCCGACGCCTTGGGTGAGTTTCTGACGTTCCAAAAAACAGCAAAGTAACCGTTAATGGCGTAACGTCCCGTTACGACGAGATCTCAAGACGAGACAGGGCATCGACCGCTACGGTTGATCGTTCTCTGCACCTGGCTCGTAGCATCGGCCAGGTCTCCCCAGACATGTAACCTGGTAGCGGGACAATCCCTCCCTACAGACGGGGGACGTGGCAGTCGGCAAGGGCAGCCCCAGGCGGAGGGCGGGTGGAGGCTTGTCTTCCTC